ACAATAACAAATCTTAAGGAGCAAGTGATGGCAATAAGAGTAGTGGAAAACGATCCATCAAGGACTCCCGTGAAAGTACCTTCCATTCCTTTTCCTCAAAGACTTCGCAAGAAGTCAATGGAAGAAAACATTCATCCTATAGCTATAAGGAGTGGGTACAATTACCAGAGATTATAATGAAAAGACCCAAATAAAAAGATGGACAAAAAGAGACCGATGAAGCTACAATAAAAGAAAAATCTACACCAATCTCAATTGTAAGTGAAAAAAGTACAGAAACATCAGTCGCGAAAGCACCAAGTTCAGGCAAAGCATACAAGCCTCACATTCCCTTTTTCAAGGGCTTTAGAAGAACAAACAAGACACAAATTATGAAAATTTTCTTGATGTTCTTAAGAAGCTCTAGATCAATGCTCCATTCATTGATGCAATACTACAAATTCTAAGCTATGCGAAATTTCTGAAAGAGATGTTGACAAAGAAAAGAAAGCTTACGGAGTTTGAAACTGTGGCATTAAATGAGGAAAGTAGTGCAAGAGTCCAGAGCAATTTGCCTCATAAATTAAAGGATTCAAGGAGTTTTACTTTACCAATTTCAATTGGAAATTCCTATTCAATTAATGCATTATGTGATACAGGTGCTAATATCAACCTAATGTCGTATTCTGTTTACAGGAAATTGGGACTAGGTCAAGTCAAACCAACATCAATAACACTGCAACTAGTTGATAGAACAATTTCAAGGCCATGTGGCAAAGTTGAGGACGTACTCATAAAAGCAGGAAATTTAATATTTCTAGCGGACTTCATTGTGTTGGACATATCAGAAGATCGAGACATTCCAGTTATATTGGGTTGGCCATTCTTAGCAATGGGACGAACCTTGATTGACATGAAGAATGGTGAGCTAATATTGAGAGTGGAAGACAAGTAAGAGATATTCAATATCTACACCCAATATAAGCAACCTTCCAACATCAGAAGTTGTTGTAGAGTAGATGAAGAAGAGCCACCTGATCAAGGAACCTGTCAGAACAAAAAATTGAATTCTAGGGAACTTCTTGGTAAAGATGAGAATGGACAAAGAAAAATCTGGAGAGCAAAAAATGATGCATAAACAAAAATTGCACAAAGTGCAATGATGGAATAACTTGATTTGAGCCACTATGATAAATAAGCTGTACAAGTCAAGTTAATGACTTAAAAAAAGCGCTTCTTGGGAGGCAACCCAAGCCTTTTTTATTTATTTATTTTGTTTCCGAGTTATATGATAGCTTAATTTAATTTATAGTTTATTCAAAAATTATCACTCATAGCCCTTCCACTCGTAGATCTTTGAGTACTTAAGTTGGTTATTAATTGTTTGATCTAAGTAACATTTGATCCATGAGTTTAATTTTTCAATTTTGATTTTCAGGAACATGACGTCGCGAAACATTCAAACCAACATGGACAAGGAGAAAATAAGACAAATCTCAATTTTGTGGAGAGAATGTGGAAGAAAAGTCGATTAAATGCAACATCAAGACACCACAACGTCACAGACAATGCTAACATTTCAGGGAAGTCTTCCTCCTTTTCCTTTAAGTTTAGTATTGATGACAATGTTTACTGTAAGGTTGGGGGAGTGTATTATTATTAATTGCCTACCTAAAATTTTTGTGTGAGTTGGACATTTTGGCTTACAATTACATTTTACTTTGAGATTTGATGTTGATTTATGAACCGTGGATATGGTGCATGCTAATTGATTGAAGCTTAACCTTGCAAAATTTGATATTGAACGTGCACTAGAATTGAGTCTGACATTGTGATGAAACAAGTTGATTCATTTGTTAAATAGATTGATTTAACTGGACATAGATGTTATATCTAAACCAAAGTAAATTATTTATCCTTAGACCAAATTTAGCGCAATTTGTGGCAACTTTATAGTTGTAGGAAGACGCGGGTATGAATTTGGATTCCATGTGTGAAAACTAATGTGTAGATTATTTTAGACTAACATGATTAAACTAGACGAAAATCTTAAGTTGGAAGTCGGTATGTTTGAATAAGTGTGTGAAAGGGGCATTGCACTAATCAATGCATATATATTTGAAATCTAAAAACCTCTCTTTGAAGTTTTGATGACTCGAGTAATTAAGCCTGTAAGGGTATCTTAAAACCTGGTGTCCTAAAGTTGTCTGACTTGGTAGTCATCGGCCTAAAGCTCGCTACATGGGTCATTTAGAAGGTAATCAAAGATGAAGCTGCACTTGAAACAAAAAATTGTTCTCTTCGAAACCTTTTTTACTCGGGTCAGTAAGCCTATAAAGGTGTTTAAAATCTAGTGCCCTAAAATCATCTGTTTTGGAAGTTATCAGCCTAAAGCCTGCTACAGGGGTCATCTAGAAAGCTTCATGGAGAGAATACAAAAAAAAAAGTGGGTGTATATATATATATATTGTGAAAAATAGAAAAAGCAAGTGCATAAAAAGAGCAAAAGCACTAAGTGCCTTGGTTAAGCCCTAACACTTATTTGAGGAAATTTAACTTTAGATAAAGGATAATTAGCTAGTTGAGTCGTGGTGGTTTAAGTAATCAAATAATTGGAGAATCCCTGTTCACTGAAGTGTTGACTTGCAATTAGTAACGTCCACCTGAACCCGAGAGTGTGAGAATATTAATGAAATATTCAACCTTACGTTACAAGCTGGGAAAGAGTGAAAAAGAACAAGTTTGATGCTGTGTGAATTTTACAAGAAATGTAAGGATATATTTGACCACAGAGGGTTGAGAATTGAAACAATTTGTGCAATCATGGTTGATTTCTTAATTCTTCACACACACACGTCGATTTTGCACTGGAAGAGTAGATAACACACACGTACGTCAGTTTTGCACTGGAAGAGTAGATATTGATATAGTATTGTGACTTTGAATTATGTTTGTAGAATAAACATCAAAATCTTGAACCTTGAGGTAAAAAACTTGATTGTACAACTAATTATCCCTTACATGATTGTGTGTTAGTAGTTATTTAGATGATAGTTTTGTTTGAAAACAAACGAATGTTTAAGTTTGGGGGTTTTTGATAACTGTAGTTTACACATTTATTTAAGGACTTAAAACGATGATATTTAGTTGGTTCTAGAATGAATTATGGTCTAAATTGTTGCATTTGGTGTTGAATAGGTAAAATACAATGATGGTACAAGAAATTGGAAGAAACAAGAAAAAGGGCTAAGTTGTAAGAGATCCAAAGTTTAAGGACTCAAGTACAAATACTCAAAAGTTGAGTCGGACCTCATGATGAAGATTCAAGAGTACTCAGAGTCAATTGGATAAAGAAATATGTCAAAGGGATGAAACATAATCAAAGTATGATCACACCTTAATTTCCAATCGAAAAAAGTTATGCATCGATTTAAGCCTCATATCGAGAGCCATTTTTGACATAGTAAATGATCAAATTTGAAATGATATCTGAATCAAAGTTGTACCCTTTTGAGTTAACTTTCCAATGCATCTTGAATCACTTCAATTGAACATCGAGATAGAAAATTATGATAAAAATACTGAAAGAGGTCTGTCGTGAAAATGGTGCCACGGCGCCAGATTCAGGGTGCTGCAGCGTCGGGAGATTCAGAGAAGTGGCGCCGCATATTTTTTGATGCGGCGCTGCACCGTCACCTAAGCGAAAATTTCGACCCATTTTGGAGTCCTAATAAAAACCCCACCTTCTACACACGGTAAGGCACATATAAAAATAATTTTTCTTAGACTTTAGGGGGGATTCACACATTGAGAGGTAAGAGAAG